AGCCCTGGGACTACCTCGCGAAGCCGCGAACGAGAAAAGGGGGGTTGCACGCAGACCTCGAATCGAGTCTTGTCCCATATGAAAAGCGAATATGTATGATGTTGTTCGGTTCGAAGGTCTTCTCTTCATCCCACTCTCGAAAAATATAAGCGCATGCCTTTTACCTACAGTACGGACTGTTTGATCGATGGACCCTTTTCAGTGTGTAAGTGCTGATGTTGATGAGTCATTTTCACGGCGTTATCGAGCGTGGGCGTGGAGGTGGTGGCACAGCCACAGGGGGGGTGGTGGTGTGCAACTCGATCGATCATGGCTCGCCCAGCTGCTGGTGAAAATGAGTGCCTCCTGTTTTAGTTCCTGACTGGCCCGGCCGGGTGGCTCGCCCCTGGGGGGTCACACAGCACACCGCACCGCCGGCAGCTGGTGGTGGGGTCGCGGCCGGCCCCCGTCTTGGACTCGGCTTGCTTGCATCTGCGCGCCGCCGGCCGCCGCTGCCGTCAGTCGCCGCCGCCGCCGCCGCCGTGCCCCTTCGCCGGCAGTGCTGCCCTCAGCACCTCCTGCAACACGCGCAGCTGCTCTAGAACACCCTAATCTCACAACACTGTTGCTAAAAAGAGTCTCTCGCCACAACATTGCCTTGCGCCCGCCCCGCGGCGCGGCGGCTCAGCTGCCTTGTGGGGGGGGGGGGCGACGACGACGACGTAAGTGCGTAAGTTTTTTTTCAGCCAGCCAGGATCCTATTTGGAGCCTCGCGGTGCGCATCAGAAGGAGCAGCGATGATGCAAGTGACCGTCGTGGGGCCCTAGAGCAGATGGCAACACTGCGAGCAGAGCGGCGGCGCGGCGCGGTCGCAGTGCAGCGTCCGACGAGACGACGCCCGGCCGGACGGAGAGCAGAGGAGAGGCCCTTGCGCCCGCCGCGCCGCGCCCCGCCGCGCCTCGCCCCGCCCCGCCCCCACCCTCCGCACAGATTGTCAGGTGACTGCCCCGGACGAGACGCGACGCACCTGCTCCTGTTTCACTGCACGACACGGCACAAAGAGAAGGGGCAGAGAGAATAAAAGAAAGAAAAGGAAAGGCAGAGGAAAATAAAAAGAGAGAGGACGAAAAGGCATAAAATGGCAGAGTCGTAAGTGAGTCTCTTTCGGAGTGTGCTTTACAGCAGGGGCGTGTATATGTGCTTTCCGTTTCTTGTTCCTTTTCGATCGTCAGAAATCTCTCCGTATCCTCACCACAAAAGTGCATAGAATCAGAGCGCAGTCTCAATTTGAATCTGCCAGAACACTGATAGGTCGTCTGAGGACGTTGACGTTATCGCACCTCTCCGAAACAGCGGAAACCCTTCATCGGGTATCGAATACACAACTCATCGGTCAAAGTCAGAAAGACAACGAACGGTTTTTCCGTCCACGTGTTGATGACGGAGGAGAAGCAGCCATAGCATCATGTGCCCTCCATCAGCGCGGCCTCCTAGAGTCGCTTTTTACTGCGCTTTTTACGATCATAGTCGCCATGAACTGGAGGGGGGCCTAAGCTGAGCCGCCCGGCCGAGCCCACCAAGCCGCCGCCGCTGCCATGGGAACTGCCATCGCTGGACGGCGACTATTTATGTAAAGTTTTCTCAAAGTCGTCTCTCTCGCAGTGGTAAAAGATCCCCTACGCGGCGGCGGTGAAGGGGTCATGTCCCTGTCCAAACAAAATATTCTTCGACGTTTATTTTAGTTCATTTCGAAAGCTTGGGTTCATCCTTCCAGACGACGGCGGCGTAGGAGCGTGCGGGAGGCAGGTCGGCTACCGTTCACGTACCGCCGCAGCGTCAGCGCAGCGTGGCCACAAACTTAAAATAATGAGCCGAGCGAATCGAGATGTTGTTGGTCGCGCCGGTCGCGCCGCCGATGTTAATCCTCGTCTCTCGGCAGGGAGCGGGCCCGTGGAGCAGCCCGTGGAGCAGCCCGTGGAGCAGCGAAGGGACCCCAAATGTGACCGGTTTTTAGCGGGGGCCTTTCGATCATGCGTGCGCCAGCAGGAGGCGGGAGCAGCCGCGCAAGGAACGGCCGCGCGGCTCGGCGCGGAGTTCCCGCCAAAAAGTCCACAGGAGTCGTGGCGGGGCGCGGCAGCGGCCCGGTTTGGGCCCCACCACCGCTGGAGCCGCCGAGTCCCGTTAAGCCCCCGCCGGGGCCGCTCTTTGGGCCACCTCCACCTCTGGGCCGTGG